ATAAAATTAAGGTTTATTGTACATAAATTAAATATCAAATATACTTAATAACATTACATATAAAAATATCAAAATATAAAATTAATATAAAAAATAAATATAGGAGCCTGATAAAAATGCTAATTTTAGAAGAAATTTTAAGATGGCACTTAGAGGCTTTTGCATCTGAACTCTTCATTTATAACCAAAATTATTTTCATTCGTTTTGTCTGCCATTTTCGTTGCATTTGTTTTTGTTGTTTTGTAACTGATCTTCTTGCAGTGCATTGTGGGATTTCCTTTGCAATGCTGCAAAATTTGTCCAAATGAAGAAATCTACTTTTTGAAACAACCTTCACATCAGGAGCATGACAATGATGCCTTAAAATGTTGCCTATGTAGGAGGCAGCTCACAGGTTTCAGAACAGAGCCTCATACTCCTTCAGGTTTGAATGACTGGTATTTACACTGCATTTATGTAACCTTATGGCTTACACTGTAAGTAGTCAGTTTCATTTGCAAAAACTCTGCATATTTGGAGCAGATTACTGAATACTTTGGAAATGTTCAATCAACAAATGTTCTTCTGCACTCCAAAGACATCAGACTGCTATCCAAGGTCTCTGATTGCCTCGGTCATCCCAAGGTCTGAAGCTCTGAGCCAGCGTGGCTGGGCACCCTTGAGAGATGTGGGAGTAATCACTGCGCTACAAGCCAGCATGCCTTACCTCTGCGGAGGAGTTCATGCAGGCTCTCTGCGCTCTGGTTCAGGACGGCCCAGACCTCCTCCTCCTGCAGCGGCCCTCCTCTCACCTGCAGCGCCTCAGCTAGAGACACATGCATGCTGCCTGTGGGGTCACAAACACAGCAATGTTAATCTTACAATCATTATCATTGTACATACTACATTTACAAGTGCTCTCTGCACATCTATGAAGATTTTAAATTCTGAAGAACCCAAAGGCAACCCTTCTTTTTTAAACGTATACACTGAAAAATAAATATTGAAGCTGTAAATATAACAAAGATTTCTGGAGTCCTTACTTATACTGGAGTACGTAAGTATGTATGTATGTATGCATGTATTTATGTATTTATTTATTTATGGCAATTTTCATGCTGACTTTAAGGTATAGTTCACCCAAAAATTTTTATTGTGTCAATTTATTTACGCTCAAGTCATTCCAAACCCATGTATCTATAGTTTATATACAACACATCATATAAAGCAGTCGTATCGCTTCACAAGATCTGAATTCAACCGCTTGATTTATTTGGACTCATTTCAAAATGCCTTTATAAACTTTTTGGATCTTGTAAGTTTTGGTTACCTGGACTTTGGAGGGACAGAAAGCTCTAAGCTTTCAACAACAAAAAATATATATTTTTTGTGTTTCAAAGATGAACAAAATCTAATGGGTTTGGAACATGGTCTCTTTAAAGAAACAGCAGCACATTTAACTTCTAATATGCCATATTTCCGAGGGTAACATAATATTTGTTTAGAAATAATGTAGGGCAAGACCCAATTTTATCCATTAAGATTTTAATGGAATGTTTGAATGGAACTAGGTTATGAATACATGAATACTGGTATAGGAATTTATATTATAGACATTTGTTGCCATTAGTACCACAGAAATAATGTCATGCTGTTGACCTTAGGAGGCTCAATCATATGTTTGTCACAGCGAGATCTTTACAGAATACCACACAACCTACTGGGAAATAGGTGAGGAAAAACCTGCGATTCATTTCATTTTAAATACAATTCTGAAACGAAAAACACTCCTGAAATTGTCCAGCTGATCCAAATGGTCCAACATTCGCCATAATGTCATAACAAAACAAGCGAACCCGTTCATGTCCCGTCAGGTCTAATTGTCAGGGTGGGGTCAGTTACACTCCTTGCAGTGAAATTGTTCTTTATTATGTCCATACCTCTGCACTGCTGCCACAGCTGTAGTTACAAAGAGCCGTAAACCCCGGGAAATCCCAGCATGCTGTGAGGCAAGAGAGACAGGGGAAGCTCAGGGTTTAAGGGATTACTTTTGAGCAGGCATTACATGGGGCTACCTAAATACTCGTGTCACATTTCAATTGAACTGTGGAGTCAGACTTTTCAGTTAGGCCATGGCACATCAGATGGGAGTGTCATCAGGGCAAATTTGTGACTTCTGTCAAGTTTGGAGATCATAAACCACTTTTTGTCATATATATATATATATATATATACATATATATATATATGAAAAAAATTATTATACTATAATATTACATTTCATAAGCTTTTAATAAAATGTATAAATTATAAATGTATAATTATAATTAAATGTAAATAATTTAATTATAAATAAAAAAGCACACACACACAGGTTTGTTTTTATGGTTTATGGGGACTCTCCATAGGCGTAATAGTTTTTATACTGTACAAACTGTATAATACACCGAATTACACACTTAGTCATGTGTGAACAATATGTTACATACTGCATTCAGGATCCAGTATATACCATGAAATATGCAGTGCATAGCATTCCATTCCCAACATTGCATATATTAGACCTTCCCATCAATCCTTGGAGCTCTCACACCCGAGTGTTTGGCCCTGTCCCAATTGGAACACTTCATGTGCACTTTCGGTCTTGTGGACTTACAATGGCCGCCGCGTGCGCATGTCTCGCACTGGGGCGAGCTCCGCCGCAGACTTCTACCCGACAGTCAATGCGGCATTACGTCAAGAAAGTGCGGACTCGGAGGAAGACCGTGAGGGTTTAGGGTGCCATTTGGGACAGGGTCTTTGTTTATATCACTATGCAAACTTCAAAAAAAGTTTATTTTCTCATTCATTATACATGCTGACATTTATTCCTAAATATGTTTAAAAAAAAAAAAAAAACATCAAGCAGTATTGAACCGCTTCAGACTGCAGGGGAATTGGGGTTATGCGGTATGTAATCACTTAAAGAAGAAATCTTGCACGTCTGGAGAAAATGTTTCTAGAGAAGAAAGAAAAGCCTGCTTTTACAGTGTTTGACACACAACCAAAAACATACAAACACAACCTCAACTTACTTCTGTAAAACTAAGCTTTGAAAATTCAAATTCATTTTAAACATGTTTCCCTGATGTCCATTAATAACTTTAGTCAAGTTTTCTTACACCAAAAACAGTCACAATTTAAAATGTAGAAATGTTTTAGTGGTTGATAATAATAATAATAATCATCATCATCATCATCATAATTTGCATATGAAATTAATTACATTCCACCAATGTTATTTCAGTATAATTAAGAAACTAGTTTTTATTATATTTGAACTAGATTTTATTTTTATATTTTCTGTTTTCATTTAAATTTTAGTTAATATTTTAGTAATTTTGTTGTGTTTTTGTCATTTTTATAGTATGTAATAGTAAGTAATATGTCTATATAGTTTTATAAATTTTTATTTAATTAATTGTTTAATTGTTTTTATTGTTTTTTTTTATTGAAGTTTTAATTTCAGTTATTTTATTACATCAAATAAAACTAAATGAAAATGAGAAATGTTTTGCTCGGCAATTGTCTGAAATAAAATAACTATGTTTTTGTATATTTTATTTAAGCTAACATTTAAGTAACAGAAATGTTCAGTTTTATGGTTTTACTTAACTACAATAACCTTGCATTACTGAATACGTCTTGTGATTGCTGTGTAAATGTTGCAGATTGTATACTACGTTGCTCATTAGTTTCCATAAATGGTCTGGGTGGATCTTTTAAAATATGGAGATCTAAGATTTTGTCTGGACAGCAGCAATGAGGTGAGACATGAAACTTAAAGCCCTTAAACTAGACAGTACTGAAAGAGCTGCAAAAGATAGTAGATTCGGGCCAAGTTATTCCCAGAGTGCCGAGTGAGCTGGGAAAACACAAACATTGAGAGTGGTCAGGGTTTTCCTGGTCACAGTAACGAGGAATTTAGAGGGATTAATCTTTGAAACGTGATACTTCACCACGCTCCATGCGCGGGCGAAACCCCTTCACCCAAAAGAAACTATCCTGGTCTTGCACACCCACCTAAAGAACAGAGCGCTCCGAGACAGAGGGTTAATGAGATAGAAGAAGGGCACTTGTTTTTAAATCATCTTCCAGATGATACAGGCACTCTGTTTTTCCCATAAATGCCTGAGACAGTAGTCATCGTTTCAGTATTTTCCATTTTGTTACAGAATTTGGCAGAATACAGATTCAAGATTAAAACTCTAGAAGCCGTTAAATAAAAACAGAAGCATGGGCTAACAGTTTCCAACGGAACAGCAAAGCCCGATAGAGAGGATGTTTAATTTTCATAACATTAATCTGTGGTTGGCCCCGGTTAAATCATCTGCAATTCTAAAAACAGCCCGATGCCAGTAAGCTGAGCCGAAAATCTTTCTTGGAGATGCTTTTGCCAGGAGAGAGCAAAAAACCCCCAAACCCCCAGAATCCTTTGCTGGACCCCGTTACCCTCTATCTCTCTCAATCTCTGTTAAAATAAGGAAAACTTTAGAGCCAGGAAAGCCTCATACACAGATTTTCCAAAAACAGATCACTGAGACCTAAAAAACATTGTACAATAATTCAATATCAATATGTATTGCGATATAATTTTTTTCAATAACGGTGATATGATTTTTAAACACATTTCCGATATTTCGATATACATTACGAGTGTTTCCCATACATTGATTTATCTGAGGCGTTTGACTTCGTTGAATAAACATGAGCACTGAACGTTTCAAAATCAAAATGCGAAGCGGGTGTTTTATATGAATGTATCTCTGAAGGGAAAGGACTGTCTTCAGAAAAGTTTCGATGGCATTTTCATTTAATCTGATAAAGTAGCGTTCATGAGCGGAGCTGCTTTGATTACAGCCGTTACTGGAGAAATCGCTAGTTCTACCGCTCTCAAAGCGCCTCCTGCTGGCAGACAATCAGTTTGCATTTTCAATAAGACATTTATAATGTTACAAAAGATTTTTATTTCAGATAAATGCTGTTCTTCTGAACTTTCTATTCATCAAAGAAACCTGAAAAAATTCTACTCAGCTGTTTTCAACATTATAATAATAGATTTTTGAGCAGCAAATCATTAAAATGATTTCTGAAGGATCATGTGACTGGAGTAATGCTGCTAAAATATAGCTTTGAAATCACAGGAATAAATTACATTTTAAAATATTTTCAAATAGAAAACAGTTATTTTAAATAGTAAAAATATTTCAAAATGTTACTGTTTTTGCTGTATTTTGGATCAAATAAATGCAGGCTTGGTGAACATAAGAGAATTCTTTAAAAACATTAAAAATCTTTCGTAGTGTACAGTTAAAGACATTAATATTAATTAGGTGAGTCTGAGACGATTATTTGACAGTGATTTCACATTTCTTGTTTGTATGAAGGCTAAATGACATAAAACAGAAAGGAATAATGCTTCCTTGAATTAAGTTCTTGACATTTCAGCTTTAAAAGTTCTCCGTTGGTTGGTTGTGACCCAAAAAACGGGTCTCAAATTATGTCAAAAAGCAAATAATAAAATTCAACTAACCAAATAATCACACATAATTAGGAGAGCAAAATAAATCAAATCAAATTAACAGACAAAAGCATACATTTCAGCATAAATTCATGCATCACTTATAAACTTTTAAAATAAA